TAATACACCAGATTCATTCCCTCAGTCGCCTGGCATGTTAGGAGGCCTTGATGAAAGCTCTGTTTGAAGCTGCCCAAGTTAATAGAAAGAGGCCTTAGGTTGAGGCATGAAAAAGTTAATATCCTGCTTTAAAATGAAAGTCGTGTTTGAGGTGATAAGCAAGGAATCCAGCTTTGTTCAAAAGGGCAGATGATGTGATCAAATGAAAGGACATACACAGCTGAAACTTTCCATCTGGGTTTTTGTATTGACGACTGCCAAGGCATTTAGTGGAGTGTGTTAGGGACTGTAGAGAGCTTGCTAAGTAAGCAGCTGATAATAAATCTAACCATCCTTCAAGGGCAGATTTTGTGGAGTCTGAGATTAGATGAGAGTCATTACAGTGCTCAACTTGATGTAATGAACAGGAGGCATATTTAAAAGCTGAGCTGCATTTCCCATTTCAGATTCTGTTCTGAAATGACAGTCTATCCACTACATCAAAGAATGCAATTTATTAATCAATAAAAACTCCAGAGATATGAGAGAGTAGAAATGTTTAAGTGGGGATTTGTCAACGTTGGAGCATCTGGTACAGAGGCTGGATGAGCAAGTTATATACCATACTGTCTCAACACTGCACCAGGCAGTCAGACGGCTATCTTCTCCCATACTTTAAAGCTATTGAAGCTGATAGCATTTTCTGCAGCATCGGAAATTAAGTATGTCCTTGTCAAGAGGAGCGATGGAACCTTACACAGAAGAAAGTTAGCAATATTTCTGCAGATTTGGTGATAAGAAGGTAAAAATATTGGAGAAGTGTCCTGTGGAAGCTATCATCCTTGAAACTACTTATCTGTGCAATAGCAGCCCTGTGGTGAGGCAGTTGTTGTGAACAATGTCGAGAATGTAGGAAGTCAGTGCAAGAAGATCCAGTCTTCTGTGATCACAGGCATGTGCAAGAAGCTCAGCTTCACAACCATCAAAGCCTGCATGTTTTATGTTCTATTGTGAAGAAACACTACAAAGCCATGTGCTGAGATGGGCATCACTCTATAGCAAGGCATTCTATACCTAGGATAAACATGGATGCATTCTGGACTGGTTCTCTTTGTTCCACTAAACCACAAAGTGATCGGTGGCACCAACACGTGTTGCGCAAAGATACTGAGCGGCCCCCAGTGCATGTTTGTTTACAGGTATGTGCATGTGTGTGTGTATTCGTATGTGCCGCAGCATCGTATTTAAACCTATTCAGTAAATCCACACAGACATATGTCCGATGCTTAGTTTCTCACATCCATTAGAAGCATTTACTGGCACAGGGAATCGGTTCTGTTTTTAATTGATACTGGGGTCAATAACTGTCTTTCTTGGCCTGTATTGAAAGGACTGGGTAGGATGTCAATGGTGATTTTCATGACTATTTCCGATTACACCGGAGATGAAGCCCAATTGGTCAACATAGCTGCCATATCTTCTTCCATTAAGCATCATCTAACAATACCAAATCACCAGCTATCAGATGTGTCAGCTTAACAGCAGGTGGTGAGGGCCTCTCACATCCTGGCTGTAGATTTACCGTTCGTGCAATGATAGAAAAAGCTCCGATAAAATATATCAAGATCACAATTCAAACGCATGAGATTTTTTCCTCCATGTTCTGCTACAAAAAATATTTAAAATACACTTCAGATTCAAACATATTAGTTTCTTATTTCCCTTAACAGAAATGTTGTCCTTGAACCAACAATCAAGTTACCATTACTTGGGTATGACTTCACACTGTGCATGTGAAATTCAATGCCTTGTTTTCCCCATAGGGTTTACAGAAACTCCACAGCAGTGTTCTGTTTCACAAATGGAGTTTAGAGAAACTCCACAGCAGTGTGTGTTAAGATAGGTAGACAGACAACACACACAGGGAGCTCCACCGTGTAGGGTAATGATAGACAGTAACATAAAGCATATAATAACATATTGAGTTTACTGCAATAGTTCTCTGTTCTCTCTTTGATGGTTCTGCTTGCACAGAGACATTACCGTAACTTGTTTCATGGGATAAACATGTCGCTACCCTTCTAGAAAATCCAATTAGATTTGGAATTGATAAAATCAGGAAAATTATGAGGCTTCAGAGGAAATTACAACTTCACATGCAAGAGGAAATGCAAAAATATTGATAAAAGAAAAGCTTTTAAGTGCACTGGTTCTCAACTGCGGAAGCTAATCACAACCATGAAAGAAATTATCTTTGTGATGGTACTTCAAAGACTACTGGCAACTTGCTTATGTTAATTCTCCCTACAGTGCAGCCAAAATTAAACCTTATTGAAATTTCTGCTTCAGGAAATACAGCACAATTTCTGATTGAAACAAAATACATCCACGTCGGATTATGTTTATAAAAGAAACTCTGATAATTGCTTCTCAAAGTTGAGTTTGCTTGCCTGTTTAAGCCATCAAGCCTTCACATCAATTGATGTAACCAACTCATTGTCAGTCGTTCCCTTTCCTAAGGCCATTTTGACGAAACCCGTTTGACATAATCATATCTTATCAGTGGGCCACAGCCCAAAACGCAAAATAAATCCTAAAATTGTCTTTTGTGTTTAAATATACGAGCAAATCCCATGTTTGACAACAAGGCTGATTTGCTGTCCTTGCTGGCATAATTATGCTGCGACATGCAGTAAGGCAATAGAAATCAGCGTCTCTTTCCCCTACACGTTAATTTCCCAATATGGACGTGCTTGGGGGCCATCAATCACATGGAATCTAATAAGTGTTTGTTCTATGCGAATGTTTTCCTGCTGATAATAGAATGAATCAAGCTTTCTTTAATTTGTGCCTCCACTTGCCAGGAAAGAAGCCCTTTTTCTCTTCAAACAGAATCTAACACTCCTGAATAATACTTCATAGGGAAATTACTTCTACCAGAGTTATATTTCAAAGGCCTTCTTCAAAGTAAGACTGGTCTAAAATGTGATGAAAAGCCTGGCTGTCTCAGGGCTGAGCAAGGGACTCTATCCCTCGAGCATGCCTATCGCTTAGCAAGGAATCCATAAAAGATTTATAACATTACCAGATAAAAGGGTAAGACATCTCTATACATTCTCAAACTGCTCCATTACTCCATGCATTAGCAGATAAATTTGAAAGCGTTTGTCAGAGGCGTCAGTATTAAAGCTGTCTTCAGTTGTATCAAGTACTGTTCGGACTGGTCCTCTCAGGGGTAGGGAGAGATTAAACAACACTGTTAAGGATAACTCCGGGATTATGGTCGGTCACATTCAAGGGCAGAGGACAGAGAGCAGGTTGTAGCGATTGGCCACCTTAAGACCAGAGGTTATGCTGGTGGACAACTGGCTATAAGCAAAGTGATCTCTCGATACTTTCAGTGGGAGGAATTAGCTAGAAGTTAAAACTATGAGCTGGGCAGGGCAGACCTATGAGGGGCACTTGCAGCAGGCAGAGCTTATGTACATTTGTACAATTGGCTCTTTGATGGAACAAACGGACAAAGCAGGACAGGAGGCAGGACAGGAGGCTGGAAACTTCAGGGGTGTTATGCTGGAGTATAAGGAGACATTGGAACTACAGGTCAGAAAGGACGTCCCCCTGCCCACTCCAAGACTATGAGGTATGTTGTAGATGCTTGTCCTAGAAGTGAGGTGAGGTGAAATGGGGTTTAAGGTCGCGTCGAACATTATTGCACTTATATAGCATCGGGCATGCACTGTGTATGTGGCTGCTTGTACTAGTCAAGACTAATGCCGATTTTATAGTGCTAGCCCACTGCGATACCATGCCCCAGTTTAACATGAATACCCCACTCAGACACTCCGAGCAGCTCAGTCCTTGTTTTAGCCCCTTAATGCCGAGTACCAGACAGGGTAACAACAACTACCATTTAACATATTTTGGTATGACGTGGCCGGGGATCGAACCCCGGACATTCCGCTCTCCGGGCGGACGCTCTATCACTAGACAATTTTAGGAGGTAGCAAGTACTAGACTTGGCCATGAGGACACCTCAGTCATTTCTTCTGTACAGATGATATGTATTGCGTAATAACAGCTATACAGCCTTACAGCCGACTTAACAGCATAAGCTACGCTTACAAACTGACCCCACTTGAATTGTTTCAGGTAAATTTGAAAATCTATAAATGTGTTTTCCGAGATGTGAAGTAAAGCACCATGATCAAAACATTTTCCTTGATTTCTTACAGTGTTGCTTAGTTACAGTGAATAGATCGTCAAACAGACATGTTCACTGAAATAGCCTTCACTTTGTTGTGACTTTGTCGATGGCAGGGTGCGTATAATGAAACTGATTTACGCAAACTTGATCAATACAGGTCTGACTGAACTAGTCACCAGACATTATACTACCCAAGTTTACAGTATTGTTTAGTCTTAAACCAAGCTGTATCCATTTAGGGTATTCATGAAAAGGATCATGGGAAAAAATGAAGAGAATTGATTTCTCTACAGCCAGGAAAAAGACACATTCTGTCCTCATATGAGGAGGCATTGCTTCAAGTGCTACAAAACAGTCCATTTATTGAACATGACAAGTTTCTACTTTAATTTTCTGCTTTCAGGTTTATGAATAGGTATTTTTCTATCTGTGAAGTGCTCTTGAATGTTAAACATGAAATATCACTGCACTGTTTAACCCAGCAACCCATAGTGGCTGAGAACACATTAATGCATTTACAGCCCTTCTGAATTGTCGTACAACAAAATGTTTATCTTGCCAATGTTGAATGTTAATGGTCTATTGTGGGCTACTTGATCTGTTGAGAGTGTTCCTGTACGATCTCATAGCCTTCAGAAGTAATTCAAGTCCAGATCAAAAGATTTTCCAACATCTAGACATGACAAACCAGGGCTACGTGGCTCCCCAAATATCTTAACATGAAAACTGCCGGATTGAACCAGGGCTGTCGATGAACAGCGCAACAAAGATCAACTGTCAAGACTGTGTTTCATCAAATCACATGAAGGTATGTTCTAGCTGAAATTAGAAATAATCTTTAAGATGAACCACAAGGCAGACATGAGCAGCAGACTGCCCCAAAAATAATCATCATTACCACATGTAGGTGTCTATTGTTTAAGGCATAATCCAAGCTGCCTGGCAAAGGCGGATATGGAACAGGGCGGGGCAGTAGTAAGATGGAAGAGGAGGGGCTGGGACGGTGATTGTACTTCAAACATAGACGCGGTAATCACCAGCGTAGAAAAAGCAGACGGTAATTATTACCCAGCTGCGAGTGCACCTCCACAACAACACATGTACTTTGCCAAATCAATCAGTCGCACGTCCACAACGACATATGTACCTTGATGAATCAATCAGTGCTACATTAATGGTCAGCGGGAGACATTTACCAATTCTCAGATCCGATGTTTATCATGGACTGGAGGTAATTGTGGGAGAGACAGAGAGGCTGTTTTCGGTGCCAGAGCTAGCTTAACACAGCTCCCATACCACCGATCACACCACCAGTACGCTAAGAAGTTGCATCTTTGTAAAAGACACAGTTCTTACCCAACTGTTTTGATATTCTTGCTTCATGCCAACAGTGTGTGTTGTCAGGCAGGGTGTGTTGCTTTTATTTCCTTTTACCGGCTGCAGGTAAAAATGGAAGCCATCAAGGCGTTGTGAACCAATTATTTGATAGTGGGCAAGTTCAGCTCACCTCCATGACACAACCATCTTCGGACAATCGAGAAAACTCATGTGACTCTGAAGGGAGAACATATCCCATCCTCACATCCCTACTCATACCCACCAATGCGTTCTAGTTAAATTAATTTAGAGTCATATGTCCAATCTTTGTCACTCAAAACTTCACACTGTAAATTGAAACACTCCATTCAATCCCAACTTGAAATCTTTTCTTTTGTCCAATCACGAGTGTCCTTTGCCTAATACCCATAGCAAATAAAAATTGTGATTCTATTAATTCAAGTGTTTGTGCAACATCTTATGCATGATCATGTGACATTGTCAAGATCGGTTTCAGATGGCTGTGACAGACAGGATAATGGAGGATCATGCAAAGCTAATAATTGGAGTTACCTCCCCTTCAGGGGTCTTTCATATGGGTGACACAAGTCAAACAATACAATGCTTCATGTAATTTGTTTCCTTCAAATCTGACAGGATTTTTTTCCAGCTGGTGAACCTAATCACACTGCACAAAACCCCTGAGCGATTCTTGCTTAGCGAGGTGTAAACACTGGACAGATTAGCCCGGTCCCACAGATAAATCAAACCTACAAACATGATTTGGTTGCATGCTTGGTATTATAAATCAGGCTGTGCTGGAGTCAGACAGGCAAAGATCTCAGCATGCCTCAGCCAGGGGAGACATGATAGGGTGACAATATAAACTAAACGTGACTGGTGAAGCCAACACAGGCACTTAGAGATGATCCAGGCACTGCATTTACTTCAGGGAATGTAATACACGGCCATTGTGTGGCTGGCTCACACAGGAAAACACGCTTTTATCTCACGAGGAATAGGCTTGTCTCTATCAAAAGGGAAATGCACACTTGTATCTAGCTAGGAGGGAATACAAACTCGTATCTGCCAGGAGAGCGTTGGCTAGTGACTGAGGTATAACACTGTATATACATCCATCTAGGTGAGTGTACACACATCCATCTTGTGTTGCAGACACTAACTGGTGAGGCCTTGTAATGTGATCACAATCTGCCCAATGGAGTAATTATACAGACTTGAAGACCACTAATGGAATATAAGGCCCCATCTATGATGAAGTGGTACACCATTACATGGCTGCTGTGTGGTAAGTATAGACAGACTTGTTTGATTGTCACGTTAACATTGTGTAACATTAGTATATACAACAGCTGGAAGAGCATTATTAGCCATAATTACCTTGTGACATCTACTCAATTTGTAGAGCAATTCTGCCCTTGATAAAATAATGGGTGTAATCTACTCCCCTTCCTTTCATGTACAACTGCTGACAGACGAGCGTACCGGCCACATTTCCTAACATCATTTTACATTTGTGATAATAGAGTTTTTGCAATGCAATTTCCCGGGAATATTTACTGAGTAAACTGTTTTCTATTTGCTATGCAGTAATGACAGACTAACCTCACCACGACCCCAGTATGTGGCACAAAAAGCTTTCAATTGCCACTCTTTGTTACTGGGCATATGGATATCATAACTATTCCACATATTGCCTTCTCTAGCTAAGTAATATATCCCGTTTAACCAGTGACCAACAATCATGGCATTTCCTCCCTTAGTTTCAATACACTAGTGGATCATCAGGAGGGTGATTCATCATCCCAGTGTTTCTGTAATTATATCATTACCCTGTCATCTGTAGCCTGACACAGAATGGAAAACAAGGCTACATGGCACTTCTGGCTACCACCAAACAGTATAGCCGACATATGCCAAAGAATAATATTGATATTAATCAGTTTCCATTTACCACTTAACTGGGCATGCCTGGCAGCTAAACAACTCTCGACACTAGGGGCTAAAGAACGAAAAAAAAATGGAAACGAGTTAACAGACATAGGCCTGATGCGTTCAATTTATTTCCCTGTACACCGTTGGACAGAATCAGCCTGGATACACGGCCATCTGATTGGGTCAGAGAATATAAGGTGGGATATCCAGATTACGACAGGTACTGTAACTGATTGCTGTAATTGCTGATAGGGGATTGGGCTCATTTAATGATAGCACGTAAATGATATGTCAGTCAGTCTAGGATAGTATTAGTATCACAGCACAAATGTCTCTCTTGTTGTGTTCATTAGGAGGTAGAAGATACCGATTGATCGATAGCAGTCTACAGTATAATCTGCCTCCATTCTGCCCATGCATGCAAGCACTAATTACTCAATTTCACACAAGCTCGTGGTCACACAAGGTGATCTATCTTATACCCAGCTCACTGTCCACTATTCAACATCTCACAACGAGATGGTCTATTCTAACACGACCTAGTCAAAATAATCAAGGCAGCCTTATTGGTATAGAATATTGGATACCTCAGATAAGTGGCAGGAAGGCAACAAGAGATCTTCTGTAATCAACTATACCAAACACGACCCTGTCATAAATGAGGGAATTAATTTCAGGTGCTAAATATGGCCGTCATGATATGGAGCGTGGGGTGCTGCACTTGCCACTGCCTGGCAAGACGGATGTATTTCTCAATCACTTGTGTGTGCGAGAGCTACTAAGACATTGGGTGATACACACGCCAGAACCTGGACAGAGATGTGTTTGTTTGATCCTCTGTGTGTGTGAGGAGCTTTCTTAAGGCACAATCAGCAGCAGATCAAAGGCAAATCAAGTTATCCCACAGGACTAGGAAAAGGCAGGGTGCTTCACCACAAACAGTGGAATTGTCATCAGTTGATAAAATTACATGGCATGATATGGGCTGCAGACACGCTGACATGTGGGAGTGGTAAACCCATCATCCTGGACATTCAACGGGAGTCAGTTGAGTGTAGTGGAGTCGGGGGGATGTGGAGGGTACTGGCGTCTGGGAGGTGTGGAGTGTACTTGGGGATGTGCAGTGTACCGGGGGAGGCTGGTGTGGCCGTCACTTGGGGGACAGTCGATACCTGTTTCGAGTGAAGTGAAGGTGGAATTGGTGATGACCAAGACGTGAACATGGATTACTTGTTTCAAAGGAAAAAAAGTATCCGAGTATGGAGATTTACAAGCATCACAAGGATTGCACCATGTGTCCATGTGTCCATGTGTCAGTGATGGTGATTTGGTGATTTTCCTTTATCAGCTATGGACTCAGCCATGTGTAGCAATGATGGATATATACCAGTATTGGATATTGAGCAAAGAGAACCCACTGCTGTGCAAGAAACCATCTTCCTTTTAAGGTAAATATCTTTTTAACATCTTGATTTGATAAAACATGGGACAAAGAATATGATTGACTTGTATTACATATATCACCGATGAACATGAACAGGTTAGGATGACGCTGATCTGATTGCCCTTCCAACAGGTCATCACAACAGCTAACATTCCACACACAGGTAGTTTACCATACAGTATCTCAGGTACTGACAGGAGAGCTGATACCATGGATGATACAGGTGCATTAGCCAAAGCTCAACAGATTTCCCAGTCTACTTGTGGGCCGATTTATCTTACCCTATAACCAGTAACTTGGCATTAGGTAATGCTGACAACTAGATCCGGTACTAACTGTTGTCCACACGGAGAAAGATGTGGCCAGCTACTTCCCATGTACCCATCGCTAACTATGCCAAAACATCACTTCTCGTTAGTTTAATGTATGGCTGGAATCTGTATTATGTCCAATGGCTCTCAGATGCATGATGTCAAACACACTTTACCCCACCTCTTGGCCAGACCCGAGTTTACTGTCCTCTCTTAATGATTTATTTGTGAGCCCCTCCCCACAAGAATGAATGTTCTAACCTCGACTTGCCATATTCCAGTGTTTAACCAAAGTCAGTTGTGTTGTGGGTGTCAGCTAGGAAGAACACTATCACTCTTGGTTCCTTTACTTTAACATTTCCTCCCTTCCAAGGAAGTGAGACACCTGCCTATGTAGGAACAGGTACTCCATCCACTGCCAGGAGTCTCATGCCTTCTTACTGAGCAATGTAGGAACAGAGACTCCATCCACTGCCAGGAGTCTCATGCCTTATACTGAGCAATGTAGGAACAGAGACTCCATCCAATGCCAGGAGTCTCATGCCTTCTTACTGAGCAATGTAGGAACAGAGACTCCATCCACTGCCAGGAGTCTCATGCCTTCTTACTGAGCAATGTAGGAACAGAGACTCCATCCACTGCCAGGAGTCTCATGCCTTCTTACTGAGCAATGTAGGAACAGAGACTCCATCCACTGCCAGGAGTCTCATGCCTTCTTACTGAGCAATGTAGGAACAGAGACTATATCCAATACAAGGAGTCTCATGCCTTCCTACTGAGCCTCTGTCCAATGTAGGAACAGGGACTATATCCAATACAAGGAGTCTCATGCCTTCTTACTGAGCAATGTAGGAACAAAGACTCCATCCAATACAAGGAGTCTCATGCCTTCCTACTGAGCCTCTGTCCAATGTAGGAACAGGGACTATATCCAATACAAGGAGTCTCATGCCTTCTTACTGAGCCTCTGTCCAATGTAGGAACAGAGACTATATCCAATACAAGGAGTCTCATGCCTTCCTACTGAGCAATGTAGGAACAGAGACTATATCCAATACAAGGAGTCTTATGCCTTCTTACTGAGCCTCTGTCCAATGTAGGAACAGGGACTCCATCAGACAAAAGGGGGGTCTCGGTCCAATGTGAGATAGAAAAAAGTCTCCTGCCAATGTACACCTTTGGTTCTACTCATTTCAGTGCATAATGAGTTATCTGTAGCAATGTTGATCTTGTCCGGTAGGTACAGAAAGCTCAAGAGTACCTGCACTTGTTTGTGACCACCGTTTCTTAAGGTGATATTTGTTGGCCATGTATCATCCATGTATGTTGTGATGACAGACATACCAATGATCCTTGATGGGCAGAGCTGTAGTGGAGTCAGCAGGGTTACAATGGTGGAAGCAAGTTTCCTGATGGTTCTCCTACATCATATCCGACAGGCCTTGATGCCTACTCAACTGCGTCCCATCTATCTACACAGCACAGCTACTTAAACACTTCTCTATGTACTTAGGTAAAATAGCCTGTCAGTTTACACATGACGTGCTGAGAGTACCATCATTTAGTTGAACCTCAGAGGAAAAAGCCTCCAAGAAAAGTGTTTTCATATTTGGATCAATCTGTAATGCAGGCCTAAGAAATGGCATGCAAGTGACACAATGCCATGAATAGATTCCTGTGCCCCGAGTGGCATGTCAGTCCTGTGGTGGTGAGGCACAACCACACACAGCCCATAGACCCAACTGGCACAACCACACACAGCCCATAGACCCAACTTGTCTTGTCTTCACTGCCCATAGCCAGAATTTGACATACACTTCACAGCCCATAGCCCCAACGTGTCTTGCACTTCACAGCCCATAGCCCCAAAGTGTCTTGCACTTCACAGCCCATAGCCCCAAAGTGTCTTGCCCTTCACAGCCCATAGCCCCAACGTGTCATGCCCTTCACAGCCCATAGCCCCAAAGTGTCTTGCACTTCACAGCCCATAGCGCCAAAGTGTCTTGCACTTCACAGCCCATAGCCCCAAAGTGTCTTGCACTTCACAGCCCATAGCCCCAACGTGTCTTGCACTTCACAGCCCATAGCCCCAAAGTGTCTTGCACTTCACAGCCCATAGCCCCAACGTGTCTTGCCCTTCACAGCCCATAGCCCCAACGTGTCTTGCCCTTCACAGCCCATAGCCCCAATGTGTCAAGCCCTTCACAGCCCATAGCCCCAAAGTGTCTTGCACTTCACAGCCCATAGCCCCAAAGTGTCTTGCACTTCACAGCCCATAGCCCCAAAGTGTCTTGCACTTCACAGCCCATAGCCCCAAAGTGTCTTGCACTTCACAGCCCATAGCCCTAAAGTGTCTTGCCCTTCACAGCCCATAGCCCCAAAGTGTCATGCCCTTCACAGCCCATAGCCCTAAAGTGTCTTGCACTTCACAGCCCATAGCCCTAAAGTGTCTTGCACTTCACAGCCCATAGCCCCAAAGTGTCTTGCACTTCACAGCCCATAGCCCCAAAGTGTCTTGCACTTCACAGCCCATAGCCCCAACGTGTCTTGCACTTCACAGCCCATAGCCCCAACGTGTCTTGCACTTCACAGCCCATAGCCCCAACGTGTCTTGCACTTCACAGCCCATAGCCCCAAAGTGTCTTGCACTTCACAGCCCATAGCCCCAACGTGTCTTGCACTTCACAGCCCATAGCCCCAACGTGTCTTGCACTTCACAGCCCATAGCCCCAACGTGTCTTGCACTTCACAGCCCATAGCCCCAACGTGTCTTGCACTTCACAGCCCATAGCCCCAACGTGTCTTGCACTTCACAGCCCATAGCCCCAACGTGTCTTGCACTTCACAGCCCATAGCCCCAACGTGTCTTGCACTTCACAGCCCATAGCCCCAAAGTGTCTTGCACTTCACAGCCCATAGCCCCAAAGTGTCTTGCACTTCTCTGTTAACAGACCCAACTATCACACAAGTGACCTGCAGTCAGACCAAATCCTCTGAGATCCTCAGCTGGCAATATCTGGAAGGGCTGCTTAACCAGATTACTGCATATGCTGAGACTGTGGAGACTAGGCTATCTTCTCTTTGTGATGAATCAGTTGTCAAGATAGAGCCAGAACGTTCAGTTCAGGATGGTCTTAGATTAATTTCATACCCAGGTGCAAACTCTAAATCTGGAGATATATTGAACAGCTGGGTAGTGACACGGAGTTTCAGTCTACAGATATCTTAGAATGAGGTTTAAAGCATTGACCTGCAGTGTGAAAGATGGTGTTGAGAGCCTACAGCAAGCTCCTCGCACCAGGTAACATGTCACTGGAGAAGAATGCTATTACCAGGCATTTGGAAATAAGTCTGGAATGCTCAAAAGGAAGATAAGAGATAAGTAAAAGTACTTCCTCATAAAAGCCAGCAAAGTGTATCGCACTTCCAGCCACCAAAAGAAGCTGTGGCAGTAATAATGGCAGCCTCAATTAGTCCTCCATGCTAGTGGCCTAATCGCTGGAGACTTTTGTACTGCCGGAGTCTACAACCTTTCAGTCTCCAGTCAATGTAATGGGAAGACTCCAGCCTATGCAAGGGGGAGTATTAAGCCCATATAAGGAGAAGCCGCCAGCCCATGTTTGGGACAAAGTTTGGAAGACCTTACAGAGGGAGTCTTCAACCCATGTAGGAAAGAGCTTCTAACCCATACTGAAGTATCTTTCGTCTGTCCATAAATACTTTTGTTCAAATAAGTGTCAGAATCCTCTTTCAGTGTTTGCATAAACTACTATTCCTATTTAATGTATTCATTGATCTTCTTCCAATTTACAAAGGATGACAAAAAAACAAACCACAATATGACTTATTCAGTTTTCATGTTTGTGGTTGGACTGGTCACAGCGAAAGCCATTTCGGTCTGAATCGATCCAAGCCAAGGGCCAATGACTGCTGTTTATTACGTGTTTGGTTATGCTATTATCAAATAAATGACATGATCAAATGGATTAAGACTCTGTGATACCCCAGTGACGAGACAACAAAAGCTTTTGATAAGGGCAGATCTGTGGGCTGCTGTCTAATGGCAAGAGAGGAAGTTACAGTGCTTTCTCCTAGGGAACATTAACGTCATGGGCCCGGGGGTCTTCGATCCCTACCAGAACTGTGAATGTAATTTATTGCATGTTTAAAAGAAGATATAGTCTACACAGTTCAATTTGAAGCACCACATTTCAGCGTAAATTAAATTTAGCAAACAGAAGTAGAACAGACATCAGTCTATTTCAATGTGTAAGAAGACAACTAAGAGACATTTTATAAACCCAATGACCTGTGTGCGCAGCTGATCATTCCATCACAGACCTGGAGATACATTATATGTGTTAGTGTACAATACGGCCAGTGGTTGAAGAAGGGGGTGTTGTTAAAAGTAGTTCCAGAACTGCTGCATGGCAGTCTGCAGATATGTACCCAACCCTCCATTTGGGAGAAACAATATGGCTGCCACATGGAGTTGGAACGGGAAATGAGAAGCTACTCAAACTTAATAGAATTCACTGTAATGGTTTTATGAATGAGGCATGTATGTTCTTGTACCTAGAAATACCTGGATGAGGCAACAGAGGGATGCTAAAGAAGGGTAATTTACAAGAATAGCAGTACACATGGCTGTTATCTCATCAGTGGATTCGGTCAAGGATGTTACCCTATAAGGATCTAGTAAATACGCCCCTTTTCATGACTGTCATCTTTTGCTACAAACACCACAGCCCTCCCAATGGCTGTGTTACCATACTCCCCCTCTCCATGGTTGTGTCATCTATTATCACAAGTCCCCTTGAATTGGTGCGTCACCTCACTCCCCCTCTCCTTAGCTCGCATCCATGGTTCCTACTCTACATCACTGCCTGTGTCATATCAACTGTACTCCACATCAAAGCCTGTGTCATATCAACTGTACTCCACATCAAAGCCTGCCATCTATCGTCACTACTCCCCCCTGATTGGGTGTGTCCCATACTCTGCATTTCATTGTTTTACTGCCAGGCATCGCAACTCTACCCTTCAGATCTGACGATCTTCTAGTTGTGTTGTCAGCTGTCTGCCTCTAGCACAACACAACCTAGCTACCATTGAAGTGTCGCTCCATCAATATTCTGTGTACACTCAGTTGTGTCCTCATGATTGCTAATTGAAAACTGATCAGTTGACAAACGGATCATAACCATATCAAGTGAAAGATTCAAGTAAAACAATGTCCCATATTTTGACAATTTTCACTTCAGCACATGTTTATTCATTGCATCAATTAGGCATAAACCAAACCAATTTTCAATTATCGATCCTCAAATCAGATGTGACAGCTAGAACCATGTCAAGTCCGTTCCGATGTTCGTAATGTTGGCCATCAGTAACACTCAACATTGTCCATTGTTTCATCGGAGCTCACTTCACTCTCTCCATTGTTGGACAGGAAACATGGACAACCATCAATGTCAGTGTTTGGGCCCATCACTATATCCAATTTCCCATGTTATCAAATATGTGAATAATTCACCCACTCTGCCAGAGATGGATCACTATGGGAACATTTCTTATAGCTCAAATGTTTGCCAATTAATCACACTAGTGCTCCAACCTGTGTGACACGAGGGGAATACAGATGGTTCGTGTCGCTGTAGTATTCATTACTGTGTGCATAACACCAGAGAGATGTGAGGAGTTTGGACTTACCCGGCCTTGGTTCCATGCTGTTGGGCATAGGCATCTGTCCTGCAGCACTGCCGGGAGGCTGCAAAGAGATTTCATATGTACAGTTTTCATATGTCAATCATAATGATAATTTGGCCCTTGGTAACAAATGTTCATATTAGGCAGATTGGGTCAGTATTCAAACTTTGGGCATTGTGCATACAGTTAAATGTTCTGCTGTCCTAATGAAATCAAATTTCTGACAGTGAGATAGGGCTTCTTATACTATGAACATTTACTTTACAATATACTTTATCAAGGTGCTGAAGTCTCCAGTGTGCTTTATCTAGGTGCTGAAGTCACCATAGTGTTTCATCTAGAGGCTGAAGTCTCAAATGTGTACTTCATCAAGGTGCTAAAGCCACCACAATGTGTTTCATCTAGGTGCTGAAGGCTCTCGTGTGTACTTCATCAAGGTGCTGAAATGTCGACGGTGTGTACTTCATGTAGGAGCTGAAGTCACCAGTGTGAGCTTGATTAAGTTGCTGAAGCATTTCAAAATCCATTTTCCTTCCAGAAATCAGTATTAACGCTGACAATTAATACTGTATAGAGTAATATTAATTTGATACAATCCCTCAAGCCAAGCTTCATGTCACTGGTTGTCTGGTTTTAACTATTGATTTGGTCTTGAAATGTATGCATATTTCATTTGATCCTTCTGTGTCAAAGCAAACAGCCTCTTTGGTGTTACTTTACAAACAACTTAACTGAAGCTTTACACTAAATTTGTAATTTAAACGTTCTGGTGGGGTTTTGTGTTTTACAACTGTCAGCATGCATTCATCAAAAGTATTTCAATTTGGAAAAGGGGGAAACTCATGAGGTCAATCCAAACCAGAACAGGCAGCGATCATGGAACTTCTTCTCTCACACTGCTTTCTTCCCCAATCTAGTTTTTATTCATCATCAAATATTTATTGTATGTTCGGCGGTATCAAATAACGCTAATAACGCCCCATTACATCAGTGCAATAGTCTGTCTGCAAATAACGAGAAATCTAATTTGTCCAGAAGGAAATCCATTTCTATCTTAAACATTGCTCCCGCGAGATATTGGGTTTGGCTGAAATCATTGGACATTATAAAGTTTATTGATGGGAATGCACTACTTTCATTTTGTATGATGAATATCCTTCTTTGAAGTGTAGCTTTTCTCATCAGTTGTTGTCAAACCAACAGCTGTTGCTAAGACTCTCTCTGACTGGCAGAATATACAATAGATTTATTACGCCAGCTCTGATTGGCTCATGAAAAGGTAATCTGATTGGCTGTTCATAGTGATGGTGATTAGAAGAAGACTACTAGTACTAGGAAGTATGTTTTACAGTTTTAATGAGGTTCGGTGGCAACAGAGCGAGCAGATTGATTGTTGCAGGAGTAAGAAGAGACGAGATCTCCTTATGCAAGGAATAGTGAAACAAACATGGACCGGAGGCTTTTCTTGTGAATACACTTTAATAGTTGGGATTTCTTCCCTGGATGGAAGAGGCACGGATTATAAATCAAAGATCACAGAGCGAGATGGGATCGCCTCAGACACACCATGCATGCGGAATTCAATTTTATCTCATTTGATTAACGATGAATTTGAAAACAGACTTATTTCATTTGGTAGCCGTACTTTGATGTATGAGGCTGTGCGGAGTCTGGGACAGACTGTACTGTGCCAGTCTGTGCTAATCTAATCACATACAATCTGTCTTTGATTTTTTACTCACGCTCTTTTTGTGCAGTTATTTCATTCTCGTTAGTTCCTTAATTACCTTGACGAGGAGCTCTCGTAATTACAGCTCAGCAGCTGCAGTACCCATGGCAACTGTTTAGACTGGAGGAACTTACCAACTTAATAGACTCCTAATGTGGTCGGAATAATTACAAAGTAATTAATTCTTCCCTGTGAGATCGCATTGTATTTGGGGCAGAGCTTAACCCTACACAGCTTGCCGAAATGCATACAGGAATACCGGAAGGATTGACTCGGGTCTGTCCACCGAAACTCGATCAACTCGATGCCATAAAGGTTGACTTGATGCCTAATCGGTTAACGGCAATGGATGTCCATGTTTCTCGTTCAGTAAAGATGTCTGCAAGTTGGATAACCCAGTTTACTGAATTGCAAAGTGTTGTCATTGTCAGGGGGGTTTCAGTAACACAGCCTGCTCTGGGGCTAAAAAATCCAATTACTTTTGGTGGGATCTAGTTACAGGATGACATTGGTATTACTTTGTGCAATGGGAAGTGGCCGAGCAACAAGCAGACAGCACAGTAGTGCTCCCCCTCCACACATGCCACTCAAACAACTCCACTTAGGGAAATGTTTTCACATCACAGGCTTTGTGATCAAGACAGTTTCCCTTTTATCTCGGCAACAGAGAAGTAGAGCTGATGTTTGACTGCCGAGCTATGACTCCCTCCGGATCAGCTATAGCAGGCCAGTGACGATTACCCAAGCTATCGCGGTGACGTTACAACAGCTAGTCATGACTCCGAGGACCCCATCTCGGGACGGACTCCTGACATGAGGCTATGGTGGACAAGGTAATAGTTTTCTTTATTGATACCTGTGTGTGTAACTATGTATACCAGTGATACAGGGTACTCCAGACAATGTAATGGCTTGCCAGTTATACTTATTCATCATCATAATTGGCTCAATGGTCAATTCACTGTTGCTGATGAGTTCAATATCGTCATGCTTAAGATTGAACTGTATGAGTCAATGACCTTAAACTATGGACTTGTTTGGAGAGGGTCTTTGGGGATTATTACTGTGTGAGTTGCTTTGTATACGCATGTATACGCATGTATTCCACAACATAATCTAAATATCCTGACATCAAATGGAAGCAGTCGTTGTCATTATTACCCACTGGGAAAGTTATTCTACACCTTGTCAATATAAGGGATAGTAACCTTGTTATTAATATACAACTTATAAAAAAAGACCACCTTTTTGTATTACCATATTACAAGACATTTAACTATAGTAATATGAAAGGAGGGGATGGTCATTAAATTTTATTAGAATTATATTACTTTGACATTTCCAGACAACAAGAAACATCGATGTGCTTGACCATGCACCAGAATAATGGTGTCATCCATACTAATGTCATGATCATCTAATACCGTCTCTAGAATGCGATTCAAGAAACAATGGTTTGTGTAGTTCTGCCATTGGTTTTAAGCAGGGGATAAACACTGCCTTACTTGTTCCTCTTAGTGAAATATTAGTGAAAACATGTTACAACTATGACATGATTTGTCTTTGTGATCTGTATAAGACGTAAGTCAAGGATGTTTCTCTAAATCAAAACCGAACAACAATGCTTCAGCACTTGTCCTTATGTTGTTTGTTTGTTGTTTAACACCGCACTCAGCAGTATTCCAGCTACATGACGGCGGTCTGTAAATAATCAAGTCTGGACCAGACAATCCAGTGATTGACATCATGAGCATCGATCCACACAATTGGGATACGATGACATGCATCAACCAAGTCATCTGACCACCCAATCCCGTTAGTCGCCTCTTACGGCAAGTATGGGTTGCTGAAGACCTATTCTAACCCTGATCTTTCATATGTGGGGTGTGTGCAGTGACTCACTGTAATAAGCAAGTGCACCAACCTCTCATCTACCAATTAAGTGCGATGTTCAGGTGTGTGGAAACATCAATAGGGCTACAACAATTCACTGAACTATTCCGGGAATCAAGATATGCTGCACCACAATATATGGTCATCCAAACAGATTTTGGTACATGTGCATTTGGTCTGCATCTATGGCCAATGTGTCTTGTTTTACTGAATCAGATGACTGAGTTTGGATACAGGTAGATATTCTCATGATTCCATATCTATTATCCAAATTTTTCTTTTTTCATTAACTGCAGGTTCACAAGTATTTTTGTCATTTTGAAATATTCTCCATGTCATGTTATTTCTCAATATATCCATGCACACAACACAATGTTGAACTATTGTGTTACTTCATTGCTGTTTACAGACATGATGCACACATTGTGTTACATGTAGTCAGCTCCAGTGTGTTGTTATCAGCTGATATTTCCCTTCTGTAATGTTTTGTACACCATACACCCCGCTTAACTGGCACATAACTGGCCGCCTACTAAAATTACTCATTATCCAGAGGTATGTGGAAGTTTGTGGAAGATGTACTTACTGTGTTAAACTCAACTTGGTTAGGCATCCGGACCCCAGGACCTCGGGGTCCGCCTGGATAGCGTGGGGACATATAGGGCTGAAAACAGACAAAACACATGTTATCATGGGAAACACTCTCTCAGCACAACAGACTAGGGGCCATCAATAACACAGGCGACATGCCACACCAACAGTTACACAGGTGACATAGGGACAGACGACATAATACAGATCACAACACAGATGGCAAAAACTCAAGATCACTTACTCCAGGTCAAAAAAAAATACACCTTGAGTACTGAAAGCTGAAGCCTTAACAAAAATGACAAATAATTCGACCAAAAACCCCTACCACTAATTGCTTCCACTTTCTAAGATTATAAAATCAAGCATTCACCACCAAGATTATTGAGCAAACGTTTGCATGTACTTGATTTTCTGAATGCTCCCCCAACATAATTTCATGTTTGATCTGGCAATCAATCAACTGTCTCAGATTAATTGCAATGGTGTTTTACTGACATCCTGATTCTGATAGTAGTAGCATAACAAGGGCTTATTGTGTTCTCACTGGTATTGATATAACGTCAGGCATCTGATCTTGGTGATTATCAAAGTCTCTAGTACAGTTAATAATGTCAGAGTGTAGACCAGCAACTCCCTTTTATGCATAAAAACTCCCCAAGGTACAAAGGAGATACGCCTTTATTGGGAAATACCATGCCACACCCATCCGAATTCCCTGAACTTGGCAATCACTGGTGTGTTTGACATGTCAAGTGCGTAGATTCTAGAACCACACATCATTTGTAAGCGAGTTGAGATTTACACTGCTTTAACATTGTATTCATATCGCAGCCTTGGCGGAACGCAAGAAGTGTAGCAGATAGGGCTTTTCACACTTCAATCAAACCCAGAAGCATAGGTACAGGTGATGGAAAACCAAGGATCATAATGAACCCAAGATCAGCAGATCCTGTCACGACTAAGGGATGCAACTCAGAGCAGGAATGCCATAATGACTGGTCCATTCAAATCTTTAATGAAAATTCAAGTCAAGTTACTCGGACAAGTTAGAGCAAAGATCTGTTGGCAAATGAAAAGCTCAATGTAAATCTTTTGTTTGAAGATTAGAAACGCTAGTATCTGCCCATGCATAACAAAACTGAAGAAGATTTATTTCACAAAGCCTCTTCTGAATGCCTTTTAATATACATGAGAAAATTAAATCAGAGGAACCTGTACGAGGCAGTCAAGACTCGTTTAATCTTGTAGAAAATTGAATTTTCACAAAACAAGAGTGATGTCAATATCTGGTGATGTATTGGTAAGGGTCTGTATAGCTCGAGGCAATATACTTAGATCTATGTGAATATCCTTCAACCTGCTGTGTTTATGGCGTACAACTCTTCAATTTGCAATGTGGCTTATCAGATGAAATTCTTTGGATAGCAGACAAGTTGTAAGAATACATCATTTCAGATTTAAGTGAAGATAATCAAGCAAGTATCTGCTACTTGAACTCCATTTAACCTTCCACCACGTGGATGTCTTGACGTCATGCCTCTCTGCTGCTAAAAGAGCACTCAACTTCAATCTCGTAAGTCATTCTGTTCAAGTAAAACAGGCTTCATGCAAATAGATTAGTTTGTTAGCTTTTTAAAATATGGGTTGATCCTTTTTAAAAGCCTAGGCTGATCATGATATATTACCATTCCCCAATGGCCTCATAAAGTAAAACGATGTGATTCGGTTTCTACATAATTAAGCTCATTGATCAAAGTTTGTATATCGCACAGCTCCATCACTGGTGTGTGTATGGTAGGTATATCCCGGACAGGGGATATTAAACAGATGCGCCATCATGGGAAGGTGTCTGAGAAGGAAGAAATCTTATATTACAATGGGATGGTAAGAGGGTGTTGTTGGGAGAGTGTTGGGTTTAGAAAGGCTGGGGGTGGGGCTGGGGGTGGGGCTGTGTGGTTAGGGTGGATGTTTGGGTGGCTAGGGAATGAGTGAGTATGGTTTTACGCCGCTTTTAGCAATATAATACGGCAAGGGGACACCAGAAATGGGCTTCACACATTGTACCCATGTGGGGAATTGAACCCGGGTCTTTGGCATGACGAGCGAACGCTAGGCTACCCTAGGTGATGAATGGGTGTGGGAGTAGGAGTTTCTTTATGATTAGTGGTACATATTAGGAACATGCTGGGTTGGACAAAAGATATAAGCTGGGGGAGTGAGGTATTCTTGATGGACACCTTCAGTCACATGAAACAACCATTACTTTTAACGTTGTACGTGTAACCAAGATTATTTTTATAATGTCAAGATCTCATGATGCAAGAGTGAGTGAGTATGGTTTAACGCCAGTTTTAGCAATATTCCAGCAATATCACGGCGGGGGATGCCAGAAATGGGCTTTACACATTGTACCCATGTCAGGAATCGAACCATTTCTCGGCATAACGAGAAGACGCTTTAACCACAAGGCGACCCGACCACCCAATGACTTGCAAGAAACTTGTTTCTTTTTTATAATGAATTATGTATACAATCCCACTCTATAATTTGCTTGAAGCTGCCCAACCGAAGCCTGAAACCTATTTGCTTGAAAATGTCAGCAGAACTGTCACAAACTCACTTCAGACAATGACTCGATGAGGCAATTCTTTAACTGTGTCCTCAAATTATTTCATTGACTGAGCTACCGCAGCAGGTGCTTGTTCTGATAAATGTCTGCCATAGGGTCTGCAAATGTAGCTATCCTTGCACAAATCATTTCATTACAAAACAGCAACCGCTAAGTAGTTCCGCTACAAAGTTTCAGCTTGATCTGATTGATGGGTTCCACATAAAACTCGTGCCAATTCGTGCTGCTATTATAAGTATTCATGAAGTAATTTGTAGAAGTCTATGTGGGCAACATAATATCATACCAGAAATAATTAGGGAATAATAGTTTGTTAGATGTTCGTGATTATTCAGGCAAATTAATGTTAGATCCACATCATTAACAAAAACGTCCAGATCCATCAGCGATACACACATGGAAATATCTAGCCATTATAACAATTAATTACAATTTATAGGAGTCATGTACTCATGTTCCTGCCAATACTTGCGACATCCAGAAAATATCAGCTTCATGACAAATGAGCCTGTAATGAAATTAGGGGTCCAGCAGTACAGTTCATGAGTTAAGGACTTAAGGACTTAACATGCTAAGGACATAATAACATGTACGTTCAATTACATCCACACACACAAGCAGAAACCATTACATATTGAATGACTTTGTCAAATCCTTATAAATACACCAGTATCTCAAAAGGATGTGTAATGCATACTTCTCCATTAAATAGAGTTATTTACAGATGCCGTTTTCTCCCACAATATTCCCGATATTTGTGCGCTTTGTATGGCGTGCATGACTTTCACATGTGGCCATCAATGTCACGCCAGCTGGTCGTATAGCTTGATGGATAAGATTTTGATAAGATTTATCAATCTAAACCTCGTTATCCCCATCCAGTTGGACAGGAAGTACAAGACAGGTAGTGTGACTGTTTGCGGTATCTGGGACTATCTGTGCTGGGTGCATAATGGCTGCCTCGCAACTTCGACAGGAGACACATGGCGCATGTCAAGTGCTTCTGTCGTGTTACTCAAACCGACAGTCAGGCTGTCACATTGTCAACACAAACTTATTCCTCTCACTGTGGTTCATTATAACTCATGATGTCCTGCATTTTTGCTCTCTTCGGGAAAAGAACATGAGTTGGACACTCCCACCAGTCAGATTGCATCAAAGTAATGATAGATTGGAGTGAGTGAGTGAGTTGTTTATGACAGTATTACAGTAATATCGCGGCGTGTCAGCTTAATGTGGGAGGAAAGCCTGAAGTGATGCAGGTCTCAGACGTTTACCACTTCGGTGAAACCCACGAGCACGGGTATGGGGCTGACAAACCTAGAAACAATCAGGCTAAACCAGGATTGGAACCCACAATCATAGGTTTATGGCGTGCCCAAGGAACGCAACTCTGCATTTCGAATCGCGGCGCCTTAGACGACTGGGCCTCCTGTGCCCCCTATGACATATTGGAAGGACTAGTTGGCTTCTGAAACTATTTAAATGAAACTAATTATTTTGACAAGTGGAGATACACATCCAGTGATTTTACTAGAAACAGCTTATGGACATTTCCAATTTTTGAAGAATAAAAATCTTTAATGTCTCAGACAAAGAACAGACTGATCAAAGCTTACAGTGTGGCAATTAAGGTCAACTGTGAAGGTCAGGAAAAAATGATGTCATATCACTTTTGACCAATCAAATCAATTGCCTGGCTATATTAAATGTTCCAAGTCTGCCTAAAAGATATTGGATAAGTTCTGGGCGAAGTTCCATTTCAGTGGACTGTAGGTGTAATTGAGTGGGAGAATGTACACGTTACTGTAGCAGTTGGATATTAGATTTCATTATGATGTCCTGAATTGTAATCTGTGGTGGGCTCAACCTACGCCACCTCATGTGGAGGGCCACTCATTCATTTGAGAGAATATTGAAAGCACTCAAGTGTATAAATGAAGAGATTTATTATGGTGGGGCCTTCCCTAAGGAAACACAAGTCCACCAATTTGACATATAAATAGAGAACAATAAATCGTGGCCCAGATCTGGCCCAGGCAGAAACAAATTATTGCCATTTTCAGTTTGTGGAGCGATGAGATCAGAGGGCAGACGTCTTTCACGAGACATGTTAGTTACCAGGGGTGTCTCAAGTCCGCAGATCAGAGAGGGTGCCAAGAAGGAGAGTGTACATTCTTTTATTTCCTTGCTTCTGTTACTCATTTATTGACTTTCAGAACATTACAGAAAGACCCTGAAAGATACAACGATACAAGATGAGAGGATAGAGCAGACGGCAATGAGAATTCCAAGCCCATGCTGGTAGCTCCACTGGTAGCTGCCATGACAGCTTTCAATCTACCAGGGTAAAAATAATACTCAAACTGTAACTAGTGTTTCTTTTTCAGAAGCTTAATCTTGAAGACGAACGGGTGAATTTCTTTAGGAAGTGCGAGCCAAATCAGAAGAACGCCAATCTATTACATATCCCATCTTGACAGGGTTGGAAATTGTAGGCAAACAAACAGTGTTAATGAGAATGTTTTTCTCTCGGTTTCTGTATCTTTCAATCCAGTTAAAAGCAATCATTTATCTTTCAGATAACTACTGCACTGTCAAGATGTCTCAGCCTACAACAAATTGCTCTACAATTTTATGGTTCAACTGGGCCAGGTAATGTGAACAGAAGTACATCACTAACAGGAACCTGGTTTCAAAGGGTTCAGGGTCTGCTGGAAATGGATTTCAATCAGTGTTCACTGGTGCCGAGATCTGGAAAACTGTTCAGCTGATGTAAGAATGAAGTGCAGCGATTCCACAGCCTGCAATCAGCATCAGATAAACTTGCACGTCAATCAGGGTGGAGGAACAAACTGTGATGAACCGATAACAACCATCTCCCCAGTGCAGTATGGGCACGTCGTGGGATAGCCTTGATGCAAGAGCTGTTGCAGCGCCCAGCTTACACAATTCAGGTGATCAAGGGGCGAACTACACTGTGATGAGGTGACGGTTATGTGCAGGTGACGGGTATGTGCACTTCAGGGGATAGCATCGGTGAAAGAGCTGTTGCAGCTCCCAGCTTAGACAGTTCAGGTGAACTAGTGATCTCATTGTCATGTCAATGGATAAGGATGGAGATCTCAAAAATAGAAGGATGCAATCTCTATGAATAAGGATGCGATCTCGATGTGTACGGATGCGATCTCGATGATAAGGATGGGGATCTCGCTGGATTAGGATGTGATCTCGATGGATAAGGATGTGATCTCAATGGATAGGGATGTGACCTCAATGGATAGGGATGGGGATCTCGATGGATAGGCAAGTGAATGCAGGGAATAACCATCAGTGCCTAGGTGACAGAACAGCTTCAGCTCCAAGACTTCATGGCAATGTTTTCTCATTATGGGGGACGTGTTTGTGTTGTGTGCCCTGTGATGGAGGATAATGGATTACACAAGCCTCCCGCTGCTGCCGCTGTCAGGTAGGTTCCCACTTTACTTATGTGCTTCCAGCAACTGTACATTCCATTTAACGATTCACTGGCTACACTTATTACGTTGATGGAGTTTTAACATTCTACAAGGACTCGGAGAGCAGTGCCAGAGAAGAAGTTCATGCTACTTAAAGGCTGTCATGACATATTTAGGAAGAGATTTCTAAACATAAAGATAAAATAGTCACTTTGCCTGTCTATTTTACCCTGCTATAGGTCTTTCAGAATATTGGTGGAAATCAATATGGTTGAAATTACAAGGGTAGGTAGTCAGGCAAACGGTGCCTTTGGTTTAATGCAAGCAACGAAACATCTACCAGGGCTGCATACGTGCACTAGCACAAGTCAGTTCCTCTCATTTCCCTTATTATACTACTCAAAAGAAGTTAAGGATCACCCGATTCTTTCATAATGGTAAAGTTAATCTGTTATGACATGAGAGATTAACTATAGTAATATGAAAGAATCAGGTGATCCTTAACTTCTTTTGAGTAGTATAGTAGAAGAAAGCATTTTATATGTATTATTCACTATTTCTTACAAACAGTGATAAAATCCTTTTGGGTTTTTTGTTTCACCTATTTGAAAAACAAAGTAAAGTCATTTTCTTAAATATTTTTTTCTAATTTCAGAGGGTTTTTTTTAGTTGTTTTGTCACATAAAGCACCTAAAAAATTACAAGGCCTTAGGTATCCTGGGGAATTTTAGGGGTGTCCTTATGTTGTAGTTGGTTGGTTTGTTGTTTAATGCCGACGCACTCAGCAATATTCCAGCTATATGATGGCGGTCTGTAAATAATCGAGTCTGGACCAGACAATCCAGTGATTAATATCATGAGCATCAACTCATGCAATTGGGATCAATGACATACATCAACCAAGTCAGCAAGCCTGACCAACCGTTGTAACTGTCCAGGATAGAAGTTTTTGCCTTCTACCTCTGCTAGAAAACATCAGTATCATTTAGTTGCATCCTGTTCAACTTTGCCCAGCAATACTGATATACAAGGATAGCGGATTAGATTTCATCAAATTTTCTTTCAGAACTGTTTGTTTAAAATAAATGAATTACTAAATTTAAATCTTCACTTCCCTTCTTTAAAATTAATCAGAAAAGATATCTGGTTCCTGTCTTTTTTCAGATTTGCAATTGTGAATGCATGTTGGGATCCACAATAAAAACTGACAAGATTTCCTTTGGTTAAAAAAACCCAAACCTGTCCAAACCTGATCATCATTGCTATTTCACAAGAGTAATGTGCATGTTTCAATATCTGCCAAAATCATGTAGCACATGTAATCATCTATGTAGACGACTATCTGTAATAGAAAGATAGTGATCAATATTTCCCCATCTTCCAAATGTAATCATGAAGTATTTCAGCCATTGCACCACAAAAAGAAACATCACTTCTGATATTCAAAACTAATTTGTTCGGCTCCAAAATGGACAAAAAGGAAGATATTTGCAATTCAAAGCTACAAAATATTACCAATAGAAAAAAGTTTCGTTTCATGATTGCTCTAAATGAAAATATCAGTTTCTTCTACAAAGAATGTCCATCTGTAGAAATCCTAAATGAATCCGTGTTTTTATGGATAGTATTTCAAAGAATAAATGAAACTGCGACCAATCTTTTGAAACTGGAAGACAAATTATTGATCCAGTATGCTTGCAGGGTAGGCCAAGAGACGCAAGATGTGATATCAGGTTCTTATCAGTGGATGACGACTAAAAAAAGTTCTGGTATTAAACATAACAGCTGAACTGCAAAGTGAAAAATTAATGTATAAAATCATTAAAATATGTGGGAAGGCAGTTAGGATAGGCAGAGAAATTACAACATCCTATATAATACCTAATAAAAACAAATATTTACTGATTTTAATATTATAAAATTCCTTCAAAATAACCCAGAGTTCCAGAAGGTGATCTGAGTATCTGAGTTAAACAAGTTAAACAAGAGGTGTTTGCGTACAAAATACTCATGAAAAATGCCAAAAACGCAATGGTATTACAACATTAGTACTCAACACAGCACTTTCAGGTTGCTTGCATTCATTTCTTGACATTATCTTTATTTGCTAAATGATTGCAGGAATCACACATACGTGAATTTTGCATTTGTGAATAATGCACCAATTGTCACCTGAAACAGCATTTTAAGCAAAAGTATTTAAAAAATTGGTTATTCTTAGTTTATGAATACTCAATAGATTCGACCAAATTGAGTAAAAATCCATTGAATACCCAAAGAAATCCATAAATACCCAATGTGAATGATGACATGAGAGTAAACATTCCATAACTCCGAACATAATCTGTGCCCTGAATAACATAAGAAATCAATTCACTCTGAAAAAGTGACATAAATTTTACCAAATTCCAACGAAAGGGATTTACATTTTGCCATATTTGAATAAAAGAGATAGACAAATTATTTCCATTTTTGCTCACTGAACCTTTAGCATGATTATTGATAACTATTATTGTGACCATCCTACCAAAAATTGTGAGAAGAATTGTATAACATTACACCACCTTGAAAGACAGACATTAACCAACATTACTAACACATATTACTAACTATTCACTGGATGAAAATTAAAATAAACTTCATGGTATTTTGGTACACTATTTTGTTGCCAAATCTCACAGATGCACAAATTGTAGCAAAAATAATTTGGTCAAAGGGAGGCAACTCATCCTGTCCACAGCCAACCCTGAAGGAGTTGCCTCCCCTTAATGAGATTTGATAATGATGTTGGTTTGCATTTCAATATCAACACTCTGGCCCAGTTATTCTTTAAAGTTTTCACTTAAACACAATCATATATGAATATATTACTTATATGTCAATCAGGAATTGTTTGGTAACAAAGCAGAGAAAATTGTCGAACATTTCTTGAAAGAGCTGATGCAACAGGAAAATATTTCATGATCTTTTTCCCCAACAGATCAATACAACACACAACACAAGATTGAAGAAATCTTTATTTTCTCCCCATTGTAAAATGTTTTTAGACTTTTGAATTTTTATTTAGTTTTGATACTGGTGCAATCCATGTAACAAGCAATGCAGGTGGTCACAGGGTGAACAAGATATGAAGAGTTGTCTCCCTTTGACTGCTGTACAGTCTACACCAGTGTCACAACCTTTCCACTAAAATCAAACTGTCAATAAAGATAGTCAAAATGTAAACTATTGGATTTTATTCCGAGGATCCTTACTTCATATTCAAGTATGAGTTGAGTATACGTGTGTAAATATAATTTGTGATCGGAAATAATGTAAAGTCGTTACACACTGAAGCATTCATAAAATCTCCATAAGACGCCAACAAGTTGGGCTTCAGTAACCAGCAATGCAGTGAAGTGTACACTTGATTGCCATATCCAGTGTCACAAATACTGAGTTATAAGGTACAGGGTACACGCGTTAAACATATGGGTTAAAGATAAGGATTTCTGAACCAACAGCCCACTGCTCGCTCTACCGGAGGTTGGTAAGGAGAAGCTGACGTATTGAGCACCCCTTTTATCAACCTTGAGAATGTGGAGCACCTCAGAGATTTTTAGCACTTTTAACATCGAGAAGGGAGATCCTGTTCAGCAATTGGGATGATATGGAGAACCTCTTTAAGAGTGAGTGAGTATGGTTTTACGCCGCTTTTAGCAATATTCCAGCAATATCACGGCGGGGGACACCAGAAATGGGCTCCACACATTGTACCCATGTCGGGAATCGATCCCGGGTCTTCTGCGTGACGAGCGAAGGCTTTAACCACTAGGCTACCCGACCGCCCCACCTCTTTAAGAAAAACTGATACATAGTGGCATGAGGAAACCGATATTTGGATTCAAACATTGTGAGGAACAAACCCAGATCAAGGATCTGCTATCGAGCTCACTGACTATAGCAGCCCCCAATTAATCTGTCTTACAAAGGATGAGTGCTATTAACCTCTTGCTAAGAAACGTCTTGAGGGTGTATCTTACAAAGACATGTTAAAGACGAATGTTAAGCATTAATTGATTATATTAACATAACACAGAACAGTGTCATACACACAACGACTTCATAAATTTGTATGGCTGAAGACAAAATGTACCCAATCACAGTTCATGTCCGTTGAAATCAGAATCAGCTATGCGGCATCATAAACATTCATCAAACTATCTAACGTGATACAGACACAGTGATGCATCTTGGGATGCCCTATCGGCACAACACAGAACTAGATGTTAATCAACAGGACATATTTGCGTTAGAAACATAAACAAAGCTGTAGGCTACAAGGACAGCAACGCCCATTCCATAGCTAAAAGACTGACAGCCAGGCCAGTATCACAACATCAACTATGAGCATGGCATCAAAACGGGTTAGAGATACAAAATTGTCTAGTCTACAGAACAAAATTAAAAATAAGATGAACACATTTACCTCCCTTGGTCATTCACACGATAACTAAGTATTGTTACTTTCTACAGTCAGCGCGCTAGACTTGCAATAGTTGTTGTGGGGATTGAAGTTTGGAAGTAGTCTTCGTTTTGATTTGTTTCTGGGTGTGGATGTGAATATGGATGTGGGTGTGGACTGATGGGTTCAGCGACAAGCCCCCTCCCATCCAAAACCCCTCTGCCTCCTCATTTTTGGGGGAAAATAACTTTTTTGAAAATCATCGCCTGTCTCCTTACTTGTCATTCAATTCCTGAGAAACCAATCTTGGAGGAGTAGTCAAATGTATGAAGCCTGTGAAGGGTATGGCCATGTTACATCATGTGTTAAATACTACACTATCCCATGAGAACAGATTAGAGTTACCTCCCCTTGACTGTAGAATATAATCACAGAGTGGGGGAAGTCAACTACGCATTGTAGGAGATTGGGACAAGTTCAAATCTAAAGATTTGATTTTAATTTTACACAGGTCATTTGTTTGTTACTTAAAGTTACATTTCAAACATACACCTGAATGAAAAATATATATTCATCTTTGTGAAAATGTGCCAAGATATTTTTCTGAGAATGCTTTGTATAGACCTGGGAATGATATGTACATAAATATTGAAATAAAAAAAAACTGGGAAAAAAATATTTTGCATACTTTTTCAGATTTCCAAGGGAGGTAACTTCTTACTCAATAGGAAACTTCCTACAAGACAATCTAGAAGCAGAGAGAAAACTAAAACTGAATGACACACAGACAGGCGATCCCCGACAAGACCGGTGCCACACTAGCGGGAGGGGCTGATGTCTTGCCACCGATCAAGCGAGTCTCGTCCCACCAACGAAGGCCAACAGCAGCGAGTGGCAGTGACAAAGTAAGTGTACGTTGCTATGTGTGACTGACTGAGGCCAGGTTGGTAGGTAGGTAGGTAGGTAGGTAGGTAGGGTACTCACTTGGTTTTGTCCCAGCATGGGATTGTGAGGAGGCTGTGAATGGGGGGACGGCTGGGACGCGGGAGGCTGTCAACGTGAAAGAGGCCGATGGCCAGTGGGAGACATTGTCAGCAATGTGCAAATAATCCGGTGTAGTTCCACACGCAAGTCAGCATGTGAATTTTCAACTTGCTACCTCACAATTGTAATATTCATTCAAAGAATTTTCCAACTTAATACCCAACTACCAAAACTATTTGAAAAGGCTGGAAGAGGAACTGAATCCGCTGTGAGGGAATACCTGGCGGGGAAGCATGCACGCGGTGATGCTGACGCTGTGCTCATGCAGTTCTTTACGACGTGGACCCCACGCTCTATCACTTCACAGACGAACAACTCTTACAATCACAACAAAACCTGGATCTACAACAACTGCCGTTCGCTAATGAACTCACAATCCTAACACTGAGTGACTGCAGGGAACAAGCATTCAAGTGCTAGATTGAACACAATAGTTTACATATCCATCTGCCCTAGACTTCAATAATTTTGTTTATTATTTATTCCTAGATTAAACTAATATCTTCCTCACTCATTCCTAGATATAATCATATATCTCTATCCACTATTCAAATAATTAACACATGTATATTACATCACACTCAATCTACTGATTAACCATAGAGTGAGTGAGTGAGTATGGTTTTACGCCACTTTTAGCAATATTCCAGCAATATCACGGCGGGGGACACCAGAAATGGGCTTCACACATTGTACCCATGTCGGGAATCGAACCCGGGTCTTCGGCGTGACGAGCGAACGCTTTAACCACTAGGCTACCCGACCGCCCCGATTAACCATAGAGAAACACACATTACAGATTGTTCCTTGTCAAGATCTGATCTTGTTATTACTGAATGTGCCTCCTCCCTTGTAGGTAAGATACCCCATGCTACGAAACCCTATTCAGTACAGCGTCTTGGATGCCTGAAACATCGCAATCTATGAACTACTCAACTAGAGAGAGGTATAAGTAGATAAAATAGAATGATAAACTTTGATCTATAAATGTATCACACTGACTAGCCTAATTGTTACAGAAGGGTATACCCAAAGGAAGTCTTGTGATAAGTTTGTCTGTGATTTACTTACAGGAAAAAAACTAGGTGGCATGGGACCGCCAGGCATGCCATCTTGTGGGGGCATCTGACTGAGCGGACTGGGCGCTGCATTCTGGAACAAAAACATGCACCATTAGCAGAGTCACTCACAATCAGCAGAAAATACATTCAGAAACATAATTTATGTATTAGTAAGAATATGAATTGCATGTTGTTTTATGCCAGTCAGCAATATTCCACAAGATGGTGGACTGCTAATCAAGTCTGGAGCCATCAAAGCAGGGCAGTCATACTGCCATCACTGTCGTAAGTCTACGAGTTACGACTGTCTTAGGGTTGCGATCACTTTGTGAAATGGGACCCTGAGGTTATGTCCTAATCCTGGTTACAGGTAGTAAGTGTTTCATAATAGGTTCAAAACACAAACTTCGGTACTAGGGACCCATTTTGACCCAGCATAGTCAAAGAGTGTCTATACTATGAAGTAATTGATATTTATTAATACAGATCCCAGATAATCAAAAATATAAAGAGGTATCAGATATTCAGAAATTGCTGATGAAAATAGTGAGAATGGAGCTAGCTCGAAAAGAAAGAAAAACCTTCCTAGTGGCAGTGGTTGATCGTGTGAAGATTATGACATTAAATGTTCCTATCATCAACATAATTATCATTATCATAATTATTACTGTGACAGTGATAATTAGTGTCATTGTTATTAGCATTGTTATAACCCACAAGTGGTGTTGAGAAATCTTCCATGAATTGTTATCAGAGGCAAGTCGTGCTTGGGAGAATAGCACAACGTGCTGGTAAACACCAGCTTGTAGCTAGAGGTTGGCAACACGTTAATGTATTTTGTATTCTGAACTTGTTAACAGGTCAAAGCATGCATTATTTGCCATGACTTTTCCAGATAAACTTTGTGAGTGGTCATGGATGTTAGTGCACTCATTTGGAAACTTAGTCGTAAAAGTTCAAGACATGTTCAAAAATATTCAGATGAATACAACATGTTTAGTTTGTTAATCTTCGGTCTTGTGTTTCTTGACTAATATAGAAGTATTTGATATTCAGCAAATACAATATCATTTCACTGTATCAATTCCTGAGGAATATGTTTGCATAAAGAATCATACCATAACTTTCAGTTATAACTCACTGAGGCATGATCTTTCTCCCTTTTTTACAGATTTGTGTGAAAAATCCAGGTATTTTTGAGGGGAGGAGAGGGAGTGAGAAGAGAAGAAAAAGTTCAGATTTATTTTTGTTGTTGCCAAGTGATCATAAGAGCCATGCCGTTTAACATATTGTATGTGTAATTATGTCTTGAACACATGAAAGTTTGCATTACATATTATTTTCACATCTTCATGTCCAAAATCTATCTTAACACAAACAGAATCAGTAAACCAATTACCAATAGAGTCCTATTTTAATCAATTTTTTTTTTTTTTTTATCTAATTAATTCCCATTTTAGTTAATTTGTGAAAAGGTTTTGAACTTTCTATTTAATGAAAAACATGTAAATCAAGCAGTGTTGTTAAGCAAATAAAGAGAAGTCTTCTTTTAATAAATTGTTAGGCGTTTGCATCGGTTTGGCAGATCGCACCTCGAGAAATTCAGAAAATGATGTTCTACAAGTAATGGATGTACCACATGCATGCAGAAAGTCATCAAAGGTAAACAATGAAAGCTGAACCTATTGTGTAGAAGTTAAATCTTGCCTTGCTGATCAATAGAATAAACTTGAGGTTTATTTTGAACAATAAAATGAATCTACTGCACTTGTCTTGTAATTTACATCAACTCTTTCAAATTGTTCAAGGGAAGCCTATGTCATTGTTCAAGGTAAGCCTTTATCATTGTTCAAGGTAAGTCTATGTCATTGTTCAAGGTAAGCCTATATCATTGTTCAAGGTAAGCCTATGTCATTGATCAAGTTAAGCCTATGTCATTGTTCAAGGTAAGCCTATATCATTGTTCAAGGTAAGCCTTTATCATTGTTCAAGGTAAGTCTATGTCATTGGATAAAATAAAATAAAAGAAATGAAACACATACTATGACATTGTTGGGTTTTTTCTTTTTCCTTATTGACTCATGGACACTTGGGGCACAATGATGACAAGTGACATCACACTACCCCCAGGACTTGCAAAAGTGAACTACTGTCAATCGTTATCAATCACAGAAAGCTCAGAAAACCAACGGGTACAATGTCCATAGAGAAACATGAACAGATGCAATCAAAGTTGCACACGTCAATCTACAACAATAGGATTTCAATCAAAGAAATGATCAAATAAGCTAAAAAAGCTGAACTTTAACAATATGCAAGTCGACAAACTTGGTGAAGAAAAAACGACTGAACAGATGCAATAAACAAGTATTGAAGACAAACAGACAATGTGTTGACTGGTCAGCTCTACTTCCCTAACAGCAGCTGATGACTGCTGGAGCTCTCACCAGGAGATGTGGGGTCACTTCCTGACAAGTAACAACACAAGTGGCAATTCTGAACTCAACGTACAGGATATGTATCTCGTATACCAGCTCCACTGTTTTACTGAACACAACAAACTTCCTGTATCAGTCTCAAGCATGCAAGTCAAGATCCTCTGAATAACAGTTATGGGGTCCTCAGATCCAAACACTATAGGATGAGCATGCCCCAAAGACATGCCTAAAATTCAAACACTGTATCTGTACAGACTACAAACAACCAATGAGCTAGATTCCTGCCACAGGACACCAGGAAGTGACACACAACACCAGGCAGTGACAGAATTCAGTTCCGAAATATTCAACACAAGCAATGACTTGGTTATACCTTAAAGCAGAAATTCATCAACTTTCTGAAAATATAAACTTCCCCACCTACCCTGTGGCATTACTAGGGCAGGTTATACAACCACTTCTCTCATGGCTTGAATATTGCAAATTTAAAACTTCATGGATTGAAACTTTGACTCCAAAACAAATGATGTATTATTTTTTTAAGTAGGTTTTGTTTGTTTGTTGTTTAACGCACACTCAGCAATATTCCAGCTATATGAGGGCGGTCTGTAAATAATCGAGTATGAACCAGACGATCCAGTGATTAATATCATGAGCATCGGTAATATTCAAGAAGCAATGCACCCTGGACTTTTTGCATGAAACTGGGGGTATTTCACATGAAATTTTACTATGAATGTAAGACACAGAATTTTACTATGTCATCAATAATACAAAAATAAATCCCTTCCTTAACCCAACATCTTATTTTTTTCAAAAGTCAAGCCAAACAAACGTTCCCATTTTTTCCCAAGTTGATAAATTCAGAATTAATAGTTAAATGCAATGTGAAAAAAATTCAAACTATCTGTATTAACACTACAGCTTGCACAAAACATCTAGTCATTATGTCAAGCAATATTACCAAACAAATTGTTATTTAAAAAAGGGGTTCCCATCTAAAGATAAATAATTCATTTGTCCTAGGAATGAGCCTCATCAGTGTACAGTATCTAGAGTTCTCATAGAATGACTCGATGAACGATTCTTTATCCAGTGACAACAACAAAATAATATTCTCACTCGGCACCCTTTCAGTGACAGCTGTTGAACTCCAATAGGTCCACACTTACACTGCTACCAGATCAATCCAAATGAATTATCAATAAATTTCAGGAAAATCAATAAGTTTCCATGGAAGTGATTTCTTTGTCAACTTGTGGGAGACACCTGACACTGAATACTGCCATCTTCTCCATGATAGGGAGACGACAACCAACAAATGGTAAATCAATGCCTTGCCGGTTGATACTGACTTAAAATGACCTCTATCACTCTCAGGCTGCTCTCTAATTGGTGGATGCTAGCAACTGTTATCTGATACAATGACATAATTGTTGCCATGGAAACAAGCAATGTTTTGGTTCTAAGCTGACATGGTAAGATGATGGTCTATGTAGGTGGACTAAGCAGAGTGGGCGGGGCTACTGGTGTCAAGACGCTTCATTCCCCGATAACTTTAGTCATACACTGTGTTAAACAAACAAATAATTCCAATATCGGAAAAACAATGAATCATACAAGTATTTAATTCAAAACACTTTTTTAAAGTCCAAATTAATTTTGATTCTCCTCAAGCCCAATTATCATTCAAGCATTGATATATTTCGGTATGAATTTATTTAACAAATTGAAAAACAAAATAAACAATTTAAAAAGCTTAACGATATACATCCGCAAGCAGGAAAAACCATGAATGTACAGTGTTAAATTCCTTTTCAAATCCTGCCATGAGCTGCCATGACACCAGCTGCCTTGAATGAATCCTTCCACAACAGAGACAAAAGAACACTACTTCAGAAACAATGGAAATCAATTTTTGCATCAAACCCTGCAGAATATAGCCATATGTTGTACTTCATTAACTAACATGTGTTTGTATTCACTAGTAAACACGAACTCCCCAAGAAGATACCATGAAAAGACTTTGCATGGCCCAACACAAGGATTCCCTTCACTGTAGCTGTGTTTGGAAACCCCCTAATCTATAAATAGACAAGTCAGCTCAAGCTATGAGGCAGTGTTCGCAGCCATTAGGTCGCTATAGTAACTAGCTCCATCCCACAGTAGGCACACTGGACACTCTCCAGCAGGGGAGGAAGTAAAACAAAGCTTTAGAGTCTTACACTACAGGAAAACAGGGATATTGTCACACAAACTTGTTGGACACAAAATCAGTGAGCCAAAATAACGTGTTACATGGTTCATACTACAAAAACGTACAAGTCATAGGCATGAACCTGTGACCTATGAAATGTAATACTTTGGAGGGAACTAATACCCTTATCACCCACTCACAGGCGAACAACTTTGGTAACATTCAACAGGTGTATTTGTCGCCCATAAACAACTGGTATGTAATTAAAACTAACCATGTCAAGAACAGGTCAATGTCAAGCAATGTCAGTGTATTCAGTGTATTCACAATACATACAAACAAAGCCAAGTGTTAACAGATCACTGTTTTGAGTATGTACGAGTGAGTGAGTGAGCATGTCAGCTTAATGTGGATACCACTTCGGTAAAACCTATAAACCAGGCACCATCGTCAGGCTAAATCATGGATTCAAACCCATGAATGGCAGATCCTGGAACGGTCAAGTGACAACTCTGCAAAGCAAATTGTGCTGTCTCCAGATCGCTGGGCCATCTGTTCTACACCCTTAATTCTGAGCTTACTCCACAGAATCGAGTTTACACATACACAAAAGACTGCCCTAAATTACCCAATAAAAACAAGGCCATTGAAAACAATCATTAGTTTGTGGAAGGCAATTTCTATCTAAAACAAAAAAACAAACAATACTAATATACTGATAGGCCCCTGACCCAAAAACAGAAATTTAGTTTTCTCTTCCAATATTCTAACATAATTATAATGATGCTTGAGTCTGTACACATAGTAACCCCATTTCCACTTAACACTGTGTGGTAGCAATATCCCCTCCCTTAAACCCCTAAATGCTGTGTTGTACATGCTACACCCCTCTCTTGGGCACTCAACCCTGTACGGAACATGCAAAATTCCCTCCCTTAAACCATCCTCTCAAAAATGACTGGGTGGTACAAGCAATATCACCTCCCTAATGAACCTCTCAACAATGACTGGGTGGTACAAGCAATATCACCTCCCTAATGAACCTCTCAACTATGACTGGATGGTACAAGCAATATCACCTCCCTAATGAACCACTCAACTATGACTGGGTGGTACAAGCAATATCACCTCTGTTAGACACCCCTCAACCTTGTATGGTACAAACAATTTTCCCTCTCCAATGCTCCTCTCAAAAATGACAGGGTGGTACAAGGAATTTCATCACCCTCATACATACTCAACTATGGCTGGGTGGACCAGAAAAAAGCTTCGCAAACCCTCTCAACCTTGAAAGTTTTATTGTTTTTGACGAAGGCAATCCTGTGTATGGTATGCTTTTTGTTGCACATTCTATGTTCACCCACTGTGACAGAACTCCATCAACACCAATAGCTGACCTATATGAAGCCATGCATGACTTGGTGCTGTACACTAATAAGGTTCAGCACCTTCACCTGTTTAATCCATATAGGGGAGCATTAGTGAGTCAAGCTACTGTCAACAAGTGATGCAAAAATTCAATCAATACTGCAGGATATACTAGATATATATGTGTTGCTTGAAACAAATGGACATAAGCCAGAACAGAGTGAGCGAGTATGGTTTTACACTGGCTTTACGCCGCTTTTAGCAATAATCCAGCAATATCATGGCGGGGGACACCAGAAATGGGCTTCACACACTGTACCTATGTTGGGAATCGAAACCCGTGTTCCGTGTAACAAGCGAAGGCTTTAACCACCAAGCTACCCGACCGCCCCCAAAACACAAATGAAGAATTGTATTCATCTGCTCTCCCTCACCTACGTTCACTGCAAGAATACCCATGTATATCATGACATTACAATTGCTGACTTTGAATTTTTCATGTTTTAGAAAAATTATTTTTTGTACTCAGTGAGAGAATACATCTGTGTACATTTTGTGTGAATGTGTTAATAGGAGGCGAAAGACATCTAGCTGTGTTGGGTGTTTTATTTTTGTACACAGTGAGAGAAAAATCTAGCTGTGTGAATTATTTTGTATTGTACAAGATCAAACAAATCCAGCAATGCAGGTTGTTCTTTTCTTTGGGAATGACCCATGTGCAACAGAGCAAGGTGACAAATTTGTGACTAATTGAGGTTATTT